ACGGCGACCGTTTTCGTGGTGAGAATTTTGCCGGCGGCGACTAGAATTTCGCCGCCGCCGGGGTTTTTTTATTAATGTTTTTGTTGCTTTTGCAGTTCCTAGGCTTATGGACAGTTATTCGATGAGACTACCACCTACGACAATTGATCCAGCTCCGGTCGATTCGGTACTTCTTTGGGGACATGGTCAACATCGTATCGACTCAGTTTGGGAAAACGAGGTAAGTATTTGATAACTATACATGTAAAGTTAAATTAGCAAGTTAGATTAGATTATTTTAGTAGGTGAACTGAACTGTACTGAAATCATAATAGAACTACGTATCAAATTTTTTGAAATTAGTATAATTTTAGATTATATTAGATAAATTAGAATTATTACGAATGTAATTGAATTAATAAAAGTTTTGTGCACCATAGGCTGGTCATCGATCTTACCATGTTCGAGGTACGACCAATTTAGTCACATAATATGAGTTGTATCAACCATATCTCAGAGCGGCGGGCTTGTCTAGTGTTTTGCCCCTGGTCCCTATGAATTCTGATGTGAGTTTGATTAATGCGCTCGTAGAGCGTTGCGCTCGAGACGTCGACCTTCCATTTACCGTTTGGTGAGGTCACGATCACGTTAGAGGACGTTGTGATACTGTCCGGCCTGGCGATCGACGGTGATGCCGTCGTAGTTGACATACTGGATGATGAGTGGTCGGCGATCTGTTTGAGACTGATATGACGGGTTCCGCATGATCTTTCAGGCGGTGTCGTTAGGATTATTTGGCTGAGGGATGAATTCTGTCATCTGTCGGGAAATGCATCCCAGGAGGTTACAGAGCAGTTTGCACGAGCTTATGCTCTATCTCTGATGGAAGGTATACTGTTCCCGGATTGGTCTGGAGCTACGGTGCACCTACAGTACCTACTTCTGATTGAGGATTGTCAGAGAGCTGGATGGTTTGCATGGGGAGCAGTTATTTTATCCTACCTCTACCTCCACTTCTCTGTGAGGTGACCTTGGTGGATGGCTCGCCCTACTGCAGCTCTGGGCGTGGGAGAGATTCCCACATCTGACACCGCAACATTCAGAGACGAGGGCACAGATTGCCGAGGATGCATTCCCACGTGGTCTTCGATGGCTTCCGGCCAACACTCGTCAGTATGGTGACCAGCTATTCCAGTACAAGCTGTGGTTTGACGAGATGGAAACAATGGTGGTTAGTATATAACATTTCATTTTATAGAATAGTTTTCATTTGTTTGTTTTAGATTTAGGGATAATAACGTGGTCATTTTTTTGTGTAGTGGCTACCTTACGTTGAGAGAGCACATCATCTCAGAGGTAGTGTGATACAGTCTGAGACGCTTCGAGCAGTAGTGCCACTGATATGCTTTTCAACAGTGATGTGGCACCATCCAGACCGCGTGCTCCGGAAGCTTGGCATGAGGCAGACTGTGTCTCATCCGTCACATCCTAAGGCTGAGGTTAGGTTTTTCCTTCACCAGTCTACTCATGGGCCATCGTGTGTGCAGCAGTTGGTACACGCCTCCAGAGAGTCGCTTGCTTTCTGGAACCGTCGACATGAGTTCGTAGCGACGACTCCATACATTGAGGAGGTTTTAGCCTACCACTAGGAGGTAATGGAGTGGCATCGAGATGCCACCAGACGTTCAGGCACAAGGAGAGGAGCTGCAGTGGAGGCATTGGTTAGTTATTTATTGTTTAATATTTTTTTTGGATTTGTCTTGAATTTCTTAACTGTGTAAAATCTCTGACATTTCAATTTAAATTTTAGTACGACACTTTGGAGCATGATAAGCTGAGTTTACATCACGGAGTACGGGCTGGAGGGATGTCCACCGACCAGTGTGAGGATTTGGTCAACATGATGGCATCAGGGGTTGCTACTTTAGGTTTGGAGCTACGCATGCATCCTGATCTCACAGTACCTATACAACCTGCTTATGATCAGCCCAGCATGGCTGCCTGACCAGAGCGTACTGATCCAACACCAGACTGGGCCGACCCGGAGCCACAGTTCAGACAGGAGTATAGGCCACGTAGACAGCGACGTGAGCATCATGATGTACCTAAGCCATTCCGGATTTCAGATCGACAGCAAGCACAGCCTGTCCGTCCTACTACAACCTTCCAGTTTAATACGCCGTTTCAGCAAGGCACTTATTCGGGACATCAGACAGGCGCCACTTCTTCAGGATTTCAGGCAGGACCTCATTCAGCCTTTCGGCCTCCTCCTCAGTCGCAGTTTCACTCGGATCCTTCTTCGAGCTTCCATCCACCAGAGGATAGCTTCCATACACCGCAACATGCTACGATGGGAGGCGGATACATGGCCTCAGGTAGTGATACTAGAGCAACCTCTACTCCCAACCCGTGGGACGCTCTAGAGGGTGATGAGACCTTTCAGGAGACGAGGTGGAATTATGAGCAGCATCTTCAGTCTCAGTAGTATGGTGGAGGTGTACCCGAGGAGCATATTCAGTCTCAGCAGGATGATATGTTCGATACATAGGATCAGGATGGTGGTGTCGAGGGAGATCAGCCCCAGTAGTATGATGGTAGGCCTCCACGGATCAGGGTGCCCGCGAGGTGTGGTACTGGCAGCCATCTAGTGGTGGAGCATGGTGGCCGTCGTGGTGGTCGTGGTGGTGGTCGTTAATGAGACTATTATTTTTGTTATGTTATTATTGTGTACTTCTTTGGGATATTTATGTGGACAATTATGTGGACTATTTTTAATTGGGCTAATACCACTACAACACCCGAACTATCAAAGAAATGTCACTTGTGTCCTATTCTTTTCAATATTCCATTTATGTCCTGAAATATGATACTTTGTGCCATTTGTATCCTGGCGATTTTGTTGACCGTTATCTCTAACGGTTGACCTGACGGTGGTCAAAGAGATGTTGACTTTTGCTAACATGGAAGGAAACGTGGCATCCACGTAGATGCCATATCGGTAGACACATCATATAAATTAAATTAAAAATTAAATTAAATAAAAAAGGATTTTTATCACTCCTAACCCTCTCTCACGCCGCTTCTGATTTCAATTCCGATTCCGACGACGAAGAGTTCGACGGGATTTATTCCACCACCGCCGCCGAAAAATTACAGTTCCGCTACCGCGCCTTCAGCAATCCGAACCACGCCCAAGAGCCGCCAGCTTGTAGTAGTCGTCCTCCTTCTATAGTTAATGTACACCACCACCGCGTGCGCCGATCTCGACAGAGAGTACACCTGGTGGTACACCTCACGACGACGCCATTTTATCCCCCTGTTTTTCCGTTTTCGCTCCTCCATTAACTTAATCTGTCAGGGAGAGGGTGACGACACTCTTAGCAATCTGAATATGAGTTTTGTTTGGTTAATCTGACCGAATCTGTGAGCGGCCTGTTGCGGACAGATCGTGCTCTGTCCTCCATGAAATTGTCCATCGTTCTTGCCCAGAAGCTCCGCCGCGGCGCCGCCAGTCCTGCTGCCCTAATTGCAGCAATGAGTGTAGCCCGGGAATCAAGAACGAAGGCGCCAAGTGCTGAGTGTGAGTGATCTTTTCCCCGGCTCGTCGACCTTATTTGGGGATTTTGATAGAGCCTTTGTCATGTGCTTTTAATGTCTTCGTCATGAACACCACCCAGTTGCAATTCCCTCCCCCCTGCTGCGGACAGATCGTGCTCTATCTCCTTTGGTGCCGACGAATCCATCCTCTGTCCTCCATGAAATTGTCCATCGTTCTTGCCCAGAAGCTCCGCCGCGGCACCGGCAGTCCTACTGCCCTAATTGCAGCAACGAGCGCAGCCCGGGAATCAAGAACGAAGGCGCCAAGTGCTGAGTGTGAGTGATCTTTTCCCCGGCTCGTCGACCTTATTTGGGGATTTTGATAGAGCCTTTGTCATGTGCTTTTAATGTCTTCGTCATGAACACCACCCGGTTGCAATTCCCTCCCCCCTGCTGCAAATCCCTAAATTAAAAAGGAACCCTAATTTTGGCAATGAAGACAAGGCCAATGATGTGAGGAAGGAGATGAAGCTCAAGGTTCCACTCGACATGAATTCCCTAGGTCGCCGTAAAAACTGTCGACTGAAATCCCCAATTTCCCTTCTTCCTCTCTCTCTCTCTCTCTCTCTCTCTCTATCTCTCTCTCTCTCGGCGGAATGTAAAATGTAAAATGGTCGACGCGAGAAAAGAAGGGAGGAAAGAGAGAAATATAATTTTTTACTTTTTAATTTAATTTATTATTATTCTACAAATTAAATTTTATAATTATTTATAATAAAAATTACACGTCATATTCCACATCAATGCTGACTAGATTTTCTGTTAACTATTGACGGTCAACCAAGGTCAACATTAACAAAATAATAGTTCGAGATAGAAATGGAATATTAAAAAGAATAGGACACAAGTGGCATTTTGTTGATAGTTCGGGTGTTGTAGTGGTATTAGCCCAAAATTATATTTCTCTCTTTCCTCCCTTCTTTTCTCCCGTCGACCATTTTACATTCCGCTGAGAGAGAGAGAGAGAGAGAGAGAGAGAGAAATTGGGGATATCAGTCGACAGTTTTTACGTCTACCTGGGGAATTCATGCCGAGTGGAAGCTTGTGCTTCATCTCCTTCCTCACATCATTGGCCTTGTCTTCATCGCCAAAATTAGGATTTTTTTTTATTAGGGATTTGCAGCAGGGGGAGGGAATTGTAACTGGGTGGTATTCATGACGAAGACATTAAAAGCATCTTAGGAGTGCGTTCCATTTAAAAGGGTGCTATTTATATCAATTTTTTCGACTAGGTACTAGTTTTGTAATTTTTGTTTTAAACGTGTTATTATTGGAAAAACTCCCATCACAGAAAGAAAAGAAGCAGACGAAAAAGGGAGATGGCGGCTGCGATAGTATTCCCTTTATTAATTAATTAATAATACTAAAACGAGGTACACAACACAAGCCTTATCGTTTCCCGTGATTATTTAAATTCCTAAAACCCCATATCCAGAATCTCCTCATCTACTCCCAAAATCAATTTCCAAACTTTCCCCAAAACATGGCTTCCACCTCCGACCCAAGAACGCCGGACACCAGAGTTCGAATCCTCTCAACAGAAACCATCCACGCCAACAACACTCAAACTCTTCTCGAACGGATTCCCCTCACCGCCTGCGACCTCCGCCTCATCCTCGTCGGCACCATCCAAAAGGGTCTCCTCTTCCGAAGCCCGACCGATGATCATCCCATCTCTCGTCAGGCCTTCATCGAAAACCTGAAATCCGCCTTCTCCAAGGCTCTTGCCCTCCACTACCCATTCGCCGGCCGATTCTCCGCCGACGAACACCCTGACGGCTCCGCCACCGTCTACATCGACTGCAACGACGCCGGGTGCCCGTTCCTTTACGCCGTCGCTGACGGCGTCACCGTCGACGAGGCCTTGCGGCAGCCTTTCGCCGTCCCTCCCGCTCCCGTCATCTGGTCGTTCTTTGCCTTCCCCGACCTGAAGAACTACCACGGATTCACAAGGCCGCTGATGTCGATTCAGATAACCGAGCTCGTCGACGGAGTGTTCCTCGGCTGGACGATCAACCACGCCGTCGCGGACGGGACCACCCACTGGAACTTTCACCGGATCTGGTCAAGTATCTGCCGCGGATCTGGCGATTACTCGCCGCCGGTGTTCACCAGAGATTCGTCGCTCGATGCGATGCACAAAGATGTCAGAGTTCCCTGGTCGAGAATCAGGGACTTCAACGAGGACAGTCTCGTCGTTCCACCGTTGAAGGAAGGCACCTTCCACTTCAGCAGGAAGAAAATCGCCGAATTGAAAGCCAAAGCCGCCGCCGAACTAGCCGGGTCTCGCCAGATCTCGTCTCTCCAGGCCCTGATTTCGCACCTCTGGAGAGCCGTGACCAGAAGCCGCACGGACCAGGATCCGGAATCCGAGGCCCGGTTCGTGATCCAGGTGGGCTTCCGGGGCCGGTTCGAGCCCAAGTTCCCGGCCCATTACTTCGGGGACGCGATCGGAGGGGGGACGGTCACGCTGAAGGTGAAAGATCTGGTGGCGGAAGGGAGCTTGGGACACGTGGCGGCGGAGGTGAACAGGGTGGTGGCGGAGACGACGGACGAGAAGCTTGAGGAGGCGGTGGAGAATTGGATCAAGTCTCCGGATATGAGAGGGCTGGCAGACTTTACGGAAGGAGGGCTGGTGCTGAGTGGATCGCCGAGATTCGACGCCTACGGGACGGATTTCGGGTGGGGGAAGCCGGTGGCGGTGAGGAGCGGCTGCGCGAACAAATACGACGGCAAGGTGACGGTGTATCCGGGGCCGGAGCCGGGGAGTATGGGGTTCGAGATTTGTCTGTCGCCGGAGTGTTTTGATCGTCTGAGAAGGGATTCGGAGTTCATGGCTGCCTTCACCGAATAAATTGGTGTTTTGTTCATTTTCCGGTGGGAATGATTTGAACTTCTTTACGATTGGGTGATCTCGGAGTTCAATTATTGGTGCGGAATTTTATGTGAATTGATTGATTCGAGTCCTTTCTGATTGGGCGATGATGTGGTGTTTTTGAAAGATTGGACCTTTTTCTGCCTTATTCACACTTCTTGTACTAGTCTTTCCGTTCTGTGCTGGCCTTGCCGGCGCGGCTGGAATGGTCGCTAAACGTCAGAATTCGTCACAAGGACTATTTAGCGACAACTAGTTATGGTTGCAACTGGTAAAACCATATGATCTGGGTGTTGTACAACAGTCATTATTGGTTTCACTGCAAACATTACAAAGCTGAGCAAACTCGAGGTAGAGTCGATTGTCGAGAATCGAGACATCAATCCAGAATGGTAATACGCTCCAGAGGCAAATGCAAATAATATTTCTGAGTGCAACGAGATCAATGGCTAAAACTTATCCATGCTCAAAAGGAGATGCCATTGGTACAATCAACAATAGAAAAAGAGTTCGAAACCATTCAATTTTGTTCATGGCGGAATGCCATTTACATATTATTGAACTAAGCAGGGGGGGAGGGAATCAAAGATCCACGTTTTGTGGCTGGATTGAATCACTACAGCGGGCACTCTTTCTCAAATGCTTGTTGCTCCTTGCGGCACAGATCAAACTCGTTTGTGTTGTAGTACATGCAGCCAACGTAATTGTCCATTTGTGTCGTGCACCTCTGGTGTAAATCTTTCAGCCTGCAATCAAAACAGATCATTGAATCTTTGTCGTACTGCTGCCTAAAGATAGAGCATTTCTGCAAGTCTATGGATGAATGTTTTCTATGTCAATGATGTAATGTTGGAAGTGCAAGCAATCGTTAGGCAAGCAGGAAACTGTGGCCCTGAACAGGACTTTCACAAATGTGATATTGCAACCGATCAACCTTTCTGGATAGGGATTGTCAACAGCAAATGGATGCCATGTAAATATGCCGTTAGCAAACCATGGCAGCTGGGCATGCAGGGAAATGCAACCAACTGAGGGCAAAAGCCGGTAGTTAAGTAAAAGTTTTCTTCAGAGTTCAGACTATACAAATCATGATTCATACAGCTCAAAGCTCACATATCTATCTATAAAATGAACATAAGAGGGGTCAGCGTATTGCTGAAAGAATGCAGGTTCTATACAGTGAGAAATTCACAGCATCAATCTGGTGAAGGACATAAAAATATATTCGCACCAGACCTAGGCTAATTACGCCAACCTGTGCTCAGGCTATATCTACTCGGAGGAATTATGAGGGAGCAGGTAGTTAAAACTGAATTCCGTATGAGTTGAAGCATTTGCAAAGTCAGTAAGGCTTAATGAACATTGAAGTATACTCTTCTAAGTTCCAAATCTTTGACGAGTTTAACTTAATGGCTCAGACCTAGATTGCAGTCAAGTTAGTAGCAACAGTGTAAAACTCAGCTCCATTTACCGGAAAAGAACATATGTATCACAATGCAAGAATAATATGATCCTTCTTCTCTAAAGCTACAATCGTCATAAATTGCAGCCTCCAGAAGCATACCGAAGTTGATAATTCGTTCACAGCACAAACCATGAATTCAGTAACCTTATAGAAAGTGAAGAGGCATGGTTCATGGTGCAAAATCGCAAACTGAGCTACATAACTAGCCCGGTTAGGAAATCCAATCGCTTAATCGCACACTAAATCTCATTTCGGCATCATATACCCCTACAAAACCAAGCCTAAGTTTGTGGCCAAACAGTCAAATCAGCAAACAAAATGGAATCCCCAAACTGAAGTTAATCCTGTAATCGGCTAGGAAAGAGGTAAGGGATGGTTCAAGCTGCCAGCCAATCCCCAATCTGAGCTAAAGAGCTACCCGTGATAAGACCATTGAATCCGGATGAATCACTTGCATAGAATCCAATCGCCTAATATCACACTCTAAAAACCCTAAAATGAGAAATGAATTTGTCCCAAAACAGTCAATCAGCAAACAAAGACGAAGCACAACCTCACACAACCAACGACAATTAACAGTAATAGAAGCAGCTAGCTTTTCTGGGAGAATTTTTGAGGCGATGAGATTGCTTACAGGCCCAAGACGCAGCGAGTGACTTGCCTCCCTTTATCGAGGCATTTCTCTGGGTTAGGATCCTGCTGCTTGCACTTAATGAATTCCAAATTCTCGCTAAAGCATCTCTGCCCAATGTGCTTCGACGCCGACATCAGCACCGCCGATGTTGGGATCGGATTTCCGGCCTCGTCCACCGAACTGCTCGCCATCCTTCAACCTTCGCCCCTATATATTCCAATCAAAAAAGATTCCCCAATTTTTCGATCAGAAAGCTTCGCATTTCCCCCAAAACTGAGATAGATGGAGAAGAACAAATCAGGAAATCCAAAGGATTCAATTTTCACAGAGATTCATACCTCGTCGTTGCCACAGAGGAAGAAAAAGAGCTGTTCGCGACTCCAACAGAGAATTTAGTGAGAGGGATCGACTGAAACTCGCGGTTCTGTTTGGTTTGCACTTTGCAGGAAAATGGAGCAAGAGAATCGTCGTAATTTACCACCGTACCCCAGCTGACTTAACGCAACTCCAGCAAAACTTGTAAGGGTAAATGAGTCTTTCGATGCACGAGCTGGCAGAATTACTAAAATACCCAACTCCCAGGGTTTGATTGTTCCAGTTTCCCCAAATGCTCTTTCCTGCAAATTCCGTTATCGTGAGCTGAACAAAAGCCGTTGGCGAAGTAAGTTCCAAATTCTCAATCTTGCTACTCATTGAGCTTTCTGTATCTCTGCAACCCTTCACCACGGATATCTGTTCTTAAGTTTTTGTTATTGAAATGGTGGTAATCGAGCGTGCAATTTCTCTGTTTCCGTGGCGATTTTTTGCAATCTGGTTCTTCGCCTTTAAGGAAGAAACAATTTGATTTTGGTTTGGTTCGTGAAATTGCAGTAGAAAACAGGGAAGTAATCGGTTTAGAAGTTTTCGATGAGGACGCGAAACGGGGATACTGCGAAACCGGCGACAGCGTCTAAGCGGACGCCGGCGGGAAGGAAAACTGCCGCGAAAAACACTCCTGTGACGACTCCTGATGCTGCAGTGAAATCGGTAGCTCCAAAAGCTTCTGAACTGGAACCTTCGCCAGCTAAATCTGAGCAGACCTTGGACGAAGATAAACCACCTTCTCCAACTGCAGTTCCTGATTCGAAACCGGATCAATCAGCAGGTAAACCGAGTTTCTTCCAAGTTCTGGTAATCTGCGCTGGATTAGTTATTTAGTATTTAATCAATTTTAAGGTCAGGCAGTAGAAAGATTAGTTTTTTTTTATTTTTTTAATGTTTGATAGTTCTTAAGTTGAGTGCTATTTTGCCTGTCAGTTGAAGAAGCACAAGTATCATACAATGCAGACATTGTTATGATGGAGGCAAAACCTAATCCACGAACAAGAAGGGTAGTGAAGAAAGTTGTGAAGAGGATGAAGAAAAAACAGTTGAAGATCGGGACACCTCCTACCCCAAAAGATGATAGCGTTGAGCAAGCATTAGAACCAGTTAAGCGTGAGACCGAAGAAGAAAACACCGAAGTCCCAAAAGAAGATAATGCTGAGCAGGCAGTAGAACCAATTAAGATCGAGACTGCAGAAGAAAGCTCTAAAGTCCAGAAAGAAGATAGTGCTGAGATGGCAGCAGAACCAGTTAAGGTAGAGACTGAAGAAGAAATCTCTAAAGTCCAGAAAGAAGATAGTGATGAGATGGCAGCAGAACCAGTTAAGGGAGAAACTGAAGAACAAAGCTCTAAAGTCCAGAAAGAAGATAGTGATGAGATGGAAACAGAACCAGTTAAGGTAGAGACTGAAGACGAAAGCACCATAGTCCCAGAAGAAGATAGTGCTGAGAAGGAAGCAGAGCCGGTTAATGCTGTGACTGAAGAGAGCACGAAAGTGATGACGATTGGCTCGAAGGATGTTGACTCCGGTAATAAAGAGGAATCTGACTGTATAAATGTGGAGAAGTCCTCTGAGGTGAAAGGGCAGGACCATGTAGGTGAAGTCGAAGAACTTGTTATTGGTTCTGCAGAGGATTCTCAGCCTTCTGTTGATTCTCTCAAGGGATCTATTCAGAAAGCAGAAAATGCTGTTGACTTTGATGTGTCTGCTACATTGCCAGCCAATAATGAGGGAAAAGAAGAACCGGGTAAAGATGCGGAGGAAGTCCCAAAGGAGACTCTGGGAGGAAGTGTTGATGATAAGGATCAATGTAAAGCTGACACTGTTAACCCAGAAGGAAGTAATGAGAATAAGATTGAAGGAGGAAAGACTCCATCAGGGAAAGAAGTTTGTGCTCATGATCAAGGCTACGGGGATCGCGTGGGGTTGGAAGATCCTATTCAGAATGAATGCATAGTGGATGACAATGAGGCACGAGCCGGCGATAATGCTGGTGTATTGGAGGAAGAAGATAAGCAACTAACCGCTGTCGCAGAAGAACGCAAACTTAAGAAAGAGTATGAGATTTTTGTAGGCGGTCTGGATATGGATACTACTGAGGAACAAGTGAAGAAGGCTTTTGAAAATGTTGGTCCAGTAGTTGAAGTTCGAATGCACAAAGATTTTTCAATAGACAAGAGTAGAGGGTATGCATTTGTGAGGTTTTCCAATAAGGAGCATGTTAAGCGAGCTTTGTCAGAAATGAAAAACCCTGTGGTAGGTATTGCTTGCTTTGATTTTAGCATGCTCTGGCATAAGTTCCAGTTCTGACATTCTTGCGTTCTTAGATTTGTGGAAAGCGATGTGGTACAGCACCTAGGGAGGATAACGAGACATTGTTCCTCGGCAATATATGCAACACGTGGACAAAAGAAGCTGTGAGTGCACCATACTTTATTATTATGTAAGCCTGATAACCATTTTTCATTGTTGATTCATGACTCATGTGATAACTTGTTATTTAGATAAGGCGAAAGTTGAAAGAATATGGCGTAGAAGGTGTTGAAAGCATCACTCTGGTTTCTGATGTTCAACACGAAGGTAGAAGTCGTGGGTTTTCATTTCTCGAGTTTTCTTGCCGTGCTGATGCCATGCTGGCATACAAAAGGCTCCAGAAGCCTGATGTTGTTTTCGGTCATCCTGAGAGAACTGCAAAGGTAGCTTTTGCCGAACCCATAAGTGAGCCTGACCCTCAAATAATGGCAGAGGTGAAGACAGTATTTCTTGATGGCCTTCCTTTACACTGGGATGAAGACCATGTGAGGGAACGTCTTAAAAGATACGGGGAAATCACACGAATAGCACTGGCAAGGAATATGCCGACTGCCAAGAGAAAGGATTTTGGGTTCGTTGATTTCTCTACTCATGATGCTGCCATTGCCTGTATTAAGGGAGTAAATGATGCTGAAAGCAGTGGTGAAAACACACAGGTACTGTTCGTCTTATGTTCAAATCTGCTTTGTGTTCTTGTATTATTTTAACATGCTCTTTCCTATTCTATTCTATTTTCCTTATTACTTAAAAGTTAAAGCCAAAGTCCCTGTTCTAGATACCTTTATTATTTTTTTCTTCTTATTGCTCGACTACTTGAATATGCTGGAGTGCTTTCTTTATTTGTCCGATTCTCAATGAATGAAATTTTTAGCGTTAACTTTCTCTTCTTATCGTGATCTCTTTTAAGAAGTCATGCCCTTGCATTTCCCTTAAAATCTGAGTATTGCGCAGTGACTCTTTTCCTCGTCAAACTAAGTGTAGACATGATACTTTAAATATGTGAAAAGTGAATTATAACTGACCAGAATGTTTTGAATCCTGACAGATAAAAGTAAGAGCAAGGCTTTCCAATCCTGCACCCAAGACTCAAGCTGTGAAGGGAGGAATGCGTGGTGGTTTTCTAATTGGTCAAGTGGGACGTGTCGATACTGTAAACTTACAAAGATCTGGTAAGCTTCATTTGTGGAGCTTTCTATCAGCAGAATCAATTTTATTTTTTTTAATAATCTCAACTTATTTTACAGGCAGGGGAGTTGCACGAGGAGGAAATCAGTTTAACTCGATAAATCATCGAGGTAGAGGATTCTATCAAAGGGGGCGTAGCCAAACTTATAGAGTGGGTCCTGAGGATTATGGATTTAATAACAGGCACGATCCATTTCATGGGAGGCAAACTGCTGAACGAGGTTCACTTAACGCTCCATCTCTTCCATTCTCTGCCTCCATTGGCGCTGTTATTCTTCTAATCGAGCTAATCAATGTTGATTACAATCTAACACTCACATATCACATAAGGCAGGGGAAGGGGTCCTATAAGAGGTGGTTATCAAGCGGTGGGTGGAGGTGTTCCGTTTCCTGGCCCGCCTAGACCCAATATAAATAGAAATTGGCATAATGTTAATGAGGGAGGACCAAGTGACCAGGTTCCTTTTAGGAGGCCACCATTTTCTGAAGAAGCTTTTGATGGACCTCATGGAGGAAGGCGCTATGACGACCCTTACCTGTATCCTGATGGTATGCACGGGAGGAAGCGACCATTTTACATGACTGTAAGCCATTCTGTTTACTTACCTGTAGCCAGGTTTGGTTGCTTGCTATTCCTGTTCTGGAAATGTCTACAGTTGTTTGTAATTGCATGGATTGTGAAACTCCTTTGTTTGTAGGATTCTGAACCTGATTATGCAGAACCTAGTCGATACCGCCCTCGATTTGATTATCCTGATCCCGCTGTCTCTTACCGTGGAACACCCTATCATGGTAAGGATTTTTTTGTTGCATTCAATTTCCTTATCCTGAAAATTTTGTTAAGGGTTAGGCATGGTGTGGTTGAGAATCAGAGTGAATCAGCATTGGAGCAATTTGACAAGCGGAACCCAATTGAGTTATATTTGGTCCTGTCTGATTCACTCTATATGTCAATTTGGTCTGTTTCAGTCTGGTTTTGACCAAATCACGGCTCATTCCTGGCTCTAGCCTCTAGTTTTCTGATAATCTCTTTTACTCTTTGCTGTAGATAATTATCCTGTTGGAGGAGATCCATACCCACATGATTATTATGGCTCTGAGGTAAGATCCTCTGGCCTAAATGATTCAAAAAAAATTCGGTGTGCAAAAGTTTTAAACAAAATGCTTTTCTTTCTGTCTTGCAGTTCAGACCATATCCTCCTTATTATGGCCGTGGACGGGGATATGGGGGTGACTACTACCGTTAGCCCCATAATGACTATATGGTAACTCCTATTGTGCGAAGCTTTTGACTTCACAGGCCAGGTTTGAAGATGATATCTCCCAGTTCCTGACTTCATGGCTAGGTTGGCTTGGAATGCACAATGCCTTTCATTGATGATAGGCAAATGGCTTCATGCGGGGGGAAAAACAAAGTTGAAATACTGCTTGTTCTTTTATCTCCCATTACCTTATCTTATCTCCAAGAATAAGTGACCCTTTACTTGTCTAGTTTAGGCAATATCTTTGAAGAGCATAGACTTAAGAAAACTCTTTATTTTGGAGAGTAGTTGTTTGTTCGGAGTGCTTGGCACTAGGCTTTGCGATGAGAGTTGGATACAGCTATTGGAACCTCTGATGTTAGGGATCTCTTCCCCGTGGACAATTTATTTATGCTTATGAATATGATCAACCCACTTGAAGCCAAAGAGAAGTTTGGAACTGTATCTTGGAGGTGCAAAGTTTGAAATCGAGGCTATCGTTTTATGGTGGAGGTTTAGGGATTGAGGTTCAAGTAATGCAAATTAAACGTGTTCTGGATCTTTCCTTGACGAGTCTTCAGGAGAATTGAAAGATTTACTTTGGTCATTGGAGGTTATTTCTTTCCTTTTGGACGAGATATTTTGAAGATGGATGTCATACCTCGCTATGCAGATGATTCATATGTATTAATGGACTTCTCTATTTGGATATTATCTGGCGATTGGTTTATTTGTTTTTCAGTGGCTAGCTTAACATTTAGGCGAGGTTTTTATTATTGGGTGCAATGTCCGTACAAAATGCTTGGAATTTTATTTTTGGAGAAGCAGATATTGTTCTAGGTTGTTGTGGGCTGTCCTAGTATTGGTATGCAGTTGTAAGATATGAGATGGATATTTAAGAGCTATGATTTATCTTGGATCTACATGAAACATCAGCATGGTCCTACGCTGTTGGTTAATTAGCTGCAGGATTAGATAAATGCATTCAGTAAATGCATATGATCTAGGCAAGGTGAGATATGGGTGTAAGCCAAGGTACTTGATCTGACTCTGAGCTACTGAAATCTCTTTTCTGTTAGGCAATTTCTTGCGTTTGATCAGACTAGTTTACAGGTATCAGAGTCTTAGTTACTGTCGGACATATGCTTTTGGTGCAAGGACAGTAATGGGAGTCATCAATACGCGGTTACTGATCGAATTAGCATAAATCTAACTGTCTTGCTGCTGAAAGAAGAGTTAGGTTTTGATCGTTTGCATGTTTCAAGTGCATTTTTTTTTCTCTCTGTGAGGCGTGAACATGTTATCATTTGCATTTAGTAGTAAACTTACCAGCTACTTCTGTATGGCATATTGCATGGTGCATTCAGTTTCCGTGGGTGGGTAAGACAACACCTTGACTATGATTTGTCTTCGGGGTCTTGTTTTTTCTTTCAGCTCTACTTATCTTGATTCTCTTCTCCTTTCTTTCAGTATACTGCATTCTTATTTAGTCTGATCTGTTGTTTTTCCTGCGTTCATTTTCAGAATGGATCCGACTTCTGATATGTATATGCGATCCTCCCCCCTTTATTTCTCCTATTTTTTGCCGTGTTGTTGGGTTTTCTCTTGTGCTCCATTTATTTTTAGCAGAGTTTCTTAGAATTACAACTAGTTTAATGTAGTTGGATAAGGTCACAATGATGTCAGTACGATCATGATCATGATCCTCGTGCGTATGGATTAAGGCCATGCACTGCTTCACAATCATTACTACTTTCCCGGAAGCCTTGCTTTGTCGGTATAAAGATGGCCAAATTTTACGGTTGAAGAGAAAGAAGGTAAGCCAGAGGATCCATGCAAGAGTTGTTATGCTGGAGAAAGGAGTCAATCGAGTCGAGGCGAAAAAACAATCCCAGGTAGGATGTAATCAAGCATAATTTGCCCTATCGCCAATTTCGCCCCGGGTGAAAGGCCGTCTACAGGTAGGGGTTCAATGTCGTTTGAAGGTTGAAACTGTATCTTCTAGTTTTATGTACATAAATTGATATGAAGGAATTTAGACCTCTAATTATGTTTGGGTGGATCAAGTATGTCGCTTAAGTTTGAATCAGGGATTCGGCTTGATCTATTCGTGTGAAATGATGCAAATATCTACGAGTATGCCAAATACTGAAATTGAATTAATCGATTCAAGTTATAGTAAAATGTTAACATATTGAGCGACTAGTTAACCGTGATGTGCGTCTAACATTCATAGGCGATTTGGTGTAGAATGTACAACCTACTATGTCTTCCAAATAATTTTACAGGTCAATTGTGAATTGTGAGCCCTAATTCTATTATCAGAGTTATTCCTTTTGCACCTGTGACAATCTTCCTTCTTTATGACACAGATTAAACTCTGAAACACATTGTATGAATATGCATGCCACTCAGCGAAAGCATCCCATTTGAGATTTGACATTGCTAATTGCTAAGTCTATTGCCTAGGACTTAGATGTTAACGATAAAAGTGACAAGACTAAATGGGTAACAATGTAGTAAAATGAGCAGTAAATCTGTCATCTCCTTGTAATTATTCTCCTTACCCTAGCTCTCTCCCCTCCAGGGGTGGGCATACGGTTCGGTTTTACAGAATCGAACAGAACCAAACCGAATTTAAACTGATCGAAATCGAACTATTCCTTATTAGGTTCGGAATTCGGATGGGGATATCTTGAATTTTGGGAGACATGTGTCTTTCAACCGAACTGAAAAACCGATTTACCGACCAAATTTCTGAATTGAAAATGGCCCAACCCCTATAAAAACTTCAACCTACTCCCACTTAATACTTAACCCAACTAAAGCCCAATTTCCGAGCCCAACTCCTCTCAATCTCTCATGTCCAGAACTCCAGATCCATCCAATTTCCAATTCCCCTTAGTAGTTTCGTTTCCACCCGAAAAACCCTAACTCCCCTAACGTGATTGTCGAAGCAGTAGCCAGCACCCAGCAAAGAGGCGACGCGGTGTTGCGAGCCTGCGACCACGACTTGTTGCCGCTGCTCCCTATCGATCATCTCGATATCCCTGACCCCGACGTCCTCTTCCTAAGCCCGACTCCCTAACCCTGACTGGTGACTCCCGTCATCTCTCACGACCGCTCCCTGACTCCCTCCATCTCTCCCATTCTCGTCAGCCATCTCGGCATCCACCGCCAGTCGCCCAGTCCGTCATGCCACTCGCCGCCTGTCTCTCCTACTCCCAGTCTCTCCCACCTAGAAGGGTTGTGGTGACAAAAAAAGGTACAACTCAACAACTCTTGAACTTAGGGAAAACTGGGGTAGAATGTGAAGGTAATTTAACGAACTGGAAGTTTGATCAAGAAGCTACTAGAAAGGGTTTAGCTTACATGCTCATTATTGATGAAAAACCGTTCAACTTTGTTGATGGGATGGGGTTTAGTACGTCATGTCACTATGTTGCCCTATGTTCAATATTCTTTCTAGGAGAACAATCACTAGGATTTGCTTTGCCTTCTATAGCGAAATGAAAGACAAGTTGAAAAAGTATTTTAAAAGTTCTGAAGGAAGAATTTGTTGGACTACTGATGCATGGACTTCGAATAAGCAAGATAGCTTTATGTGCTTAACTACTCACTTCATTGATCAAGATTGGAATTTTAGAAAGAAGATCATCAATTTTGGAGAACTTAAAGGTCATAAAGTTGTAGATATTGCTGATGGAATTATTGCTTGTTTGGATGATTGGGGGATTGAGAAGGTATTCACAATTACTGTCTACAATGCTAGCTCTAATGATACAGCTGTGGCCAAATTGAAGGAACATTTTAATGCTAGAGAGACTAGTATATGTGTAGTGAATTCCTTCACATGAGATGTGTAGCTCACATTTTAAATTTGGTTGTGTCTGATGGGCTTGGAGATATTTCCTTGTCGGTGAAGAGAATTAGAGAAGCAGTGAGGTTCATTAGAAATTCACCTGAAAGGTTGAATTTTTTTGGGAGTTTGCTATTGTTCAAAAGGTAGAAGGCAAACGTGGCTTGTGTCTTGTTATTCCTACTAGATGGAACTTGACATTCTTGATGTTGCAGGCTGCTGAGAGGTTTGAAAAGGTCTTCATGATGTTTGACATGTATGACGACCATTTTCGAAAGGATTTGGAAAGCAAGAAGGATAGACATGGCATAATTGGGGTCCCGGAGAAGGATGATTGGGAGAATGCAAGGAGAATGATGGGATTTCTTGCTCGGTTCTACGACTTCACCTTGAAGATCTTGGGCTCAAAATATACCATTCCGACTTGTTCTTGCAAGAAGTCCATTCCCTATATCATTTGATAAACAAGTGGGAGACGGAAGTTGAGAAAGATCTCGACTTGAGTATCATGGCTAGCAAGATGAAGATGAAGTACGAGAAGTATTGGGGAGATGTAAATAAAATGAACAAGATACTTTACATCGCCACTGTAATGGATCCGAGGTACAAGTTGGGATTTGTTGACTTTGCTTTGAAAAGGGTGTATCCTGAGGGTGGCAAGGGAGCACATATGACGGGGGATGTGAAGAAGGCTACATTTGATCTATTTGCTCACTATGAACAACTTTGGAATTCGAAACAATCAAAGAATGCCTCTACTTCTTTGGCCCCCATTGTGGAGGAGGGTAATGCGGATGAGCTTGATGTACTTGTTGAATACAAAAAGCATAGAGAGCAAATTGTAGGGGCGGTAAACAAATCTGAGCTTGAGAAATACCTTCGTGAGGAAGACGAGTCAATGGTGCTCAAGTTTGATGTACTTGGTTTGTGGAAGGTTAACAGCTTGAGGTTTCCAACCCTTTCCATGATGGCTAAGGATGTTTTAGCGGTCCCAATCTCTACTGTTGCATCCGAATATGCCTTTAGCGCAGGTGGGAGGATTCTAGATGATTTTAGAAGTTCATTGACTTCTAAGATAGTTGAGGCCTTAATTTGCAGCTCGGATTGGATTCGAGGAGATTCTGCACCATCATCAGCCGAGGAGGATCCAAAAGAGGTTGAGAAAATTGATGAAGGTAAAGTCTCAAATCTAGAATTACATATTTACAACATGATTAATTTGTATGTGCATGACTAATTTTGAGTCTATTTAATCATATAGAATTGGACAAGTTGATGAATGTTATCTCTATAAGAGATAATCTTGTTTCATCTACCTCGACTTCCAATGTCTAGAGTGGGAGGAGGAACGAAAGCAATGCATCTACTAATGCTTGTGGTGATAATTCCGATGTCTTTATGCATGATTGATGACTTTAGAGGTAAGAAATAATGATTTTAGTCTACTTTGGTTACTTGTAATTAGTTCTATACTTATTAATCACTAACCATCATTGTTTCATGTTTATTGTACTATTTTCGAATTCAAAGGTCTCAATTGTCTAGGAGTGAAGATCTAAGAAGCAAGACCTTTGGAGTTTCTACAAGTTATGCTTGGAATTAAGACATTGGTTACCTTTCTCATGTTAGTTTGAACTTAAACCATTTGTATTGTTGTGTAATGAATATTTGGAAGGACTTGAGGTATTGTATTTGTGTTGAATATTTGGAAGGTGGACATTGATTATCTTTCAACTTTGAATGCTTGTCTTAATTAATTGTATTTGGTCTATAAAATTGAAATGTTAGGTGGTAAACTACTCAAATGAGAAGCCAAAATAGTGAAAATACAGCAGCCCCCTATCCCCTATGGTCCAAATTCCAAAAGGCAGCAGAAGCATCCAAAATGGAACGACACTCGGGAGGGTAGGGCTGGTAAACGGTTAGCCGGTTAACGGTTTAACCAGTTACCGTAACGATAACCGGCGGTTACCGGTAAATCGTTAACCGGCGGTACCGGTATTCGGTGGTGAAAATTCATCAGTCGGTATACCGACCCCCACTCGGTAAGTAACCGGCGGTAAATCGGTATTACCGAATAACCGAAATCATATTCATCTTCCCTGCCTCTTCTCGACTTCCTCTGTTTCTTCCGGCTCCTCATATCCGCCTTCCTCTCCTGAGATTACTTCCACCCGTTTTCCCACTGGATTTCCCAAACCTCCCTCCACCTCTTCGGAATCAATGATTCTCCTCCTTCTCCGGCCAAACTGCCTCCCTGGATCAACTTCCATAGCGGCGACACTTTCCTCCGGCGGTTGAGAAACCGGTAGTAATGAGCAATAGACAGTATAAACAAAGAATCCCTTGGTCTGGTATGCATGCAACATCAATACAAAGCCAAGAATCGTGAGGAGTTCTGAGTAAATAAAAAATTACAAAATTGAAGAGAAAGGGAATATAGGTGGGAGGGAAGAGAGATCTGGAGAGCTACCTAGGAAGTATTCGTAACCAAGGACAAGGAGGCTTCCTTGGAATTGATTACAAAGATGGAATTGGGTTTGAAGGAGGAAGACAAAACATAGTTTTTGGCTGCTTGTCGAAGAGTCCACCAGAGAGAGGAGCAGCCGTCAGTCGCTTGTCGAAGGCCCACCGCCGATTCAGAGAGCATCGCGGTTTCTGGCAGAGAGAAACTTGGCGGGCTAGCGGCGGTGAGTGGCGGAGAGAAAACGCCGTGCAGCGTTTGGTGGTCGGCTGGCCTGGAGGATGGAATGGTGGTGAGCGGCGGAGATCTGCTAGCGGCGATTACTGAAAGAAGAGGTTTGGGAAGAGGAGATCGAGAAAGAGAGGAGGGTTGGAAGAGGAGATCGGGAGATATGTCGATTGGGGAGGATTGGGAATGAGATTGAGAGAGAGAGAGAGGAGAATCGGGGGAAATCAAGAGAGAAATAGAGAGAGAGGGGTCGGTTGGGGGAAGAATGAGAAAGAGCTAAGGTGGGTCGATTGAGGTTGGCGGTAGTCGGTATAACCGGTTGGTAACCGATAACCGTCTATCCGGTTATCCGGTTAAAAACCGGTATCGGTTGTCGAACTTCATTTTGTCGCTGTTGGTATACCGTTAACCGGATAGTCGGTTACCGGTTAACAGGATAGTCGGTTACCGGTTAACCGGTAACCGACCGAATACCACCCCTACGGGAGGGAAGCAGGTTGCAATTTTGGTTCTTAGAAGGAAACTGAACCGAATCGAGCTATAATTCGGTTCGTTCGAACCGTATAGAATTATAGCTCGGTTCGAATTCGGTCTGGATGTGGGGAACATCAAAAAATCGGTATGTGTCATTTCGGTTCGGTTCAAACCGAACCTACCGAACGCCTACCCCTACTCCCCTCCTTCTTCCTCCTGCATACGTTGTCTCCAAAGTTCCAACTCGCCCGTCGCGTATTAAACCCTGGCCGCAGTTTCGGCTAATCTTTTCTCCTGGCGTTCTCTGTTCACCGTCCTTTGTTTGCCGTCCGGCTGTCTCTCACACTCTCTCGGTACAGATATTTTCATCACTACTGAACGAGAGGGCATTTTCCTTCTCGTTTTAATTTAGGCTGTGGATTTCGTAATTCGTTGAGCAGCCTATTACATGAATGTTATATATAGAATTGATAGGTTTGTATTGATGGATTGAAGTTATGATTTGTGAATCCTACTTGCTATAGCGGTATGTGACCTGAAATTAAGTGGGGATTCACCAAGCGGAAACCCGCTGAAAAGTTACATATTCAGAGGAGGTTTCTCGGTTTCATTGTCGTGTACTGTTATTTAGCATGTCAAGCTTCTTCTAGGTTAGGAAGAAGGGTAAAGTCCTTGTGCTTGATTCTTACATTGAGTGTGAAGTTCGTACAGTTGGATTGTTTGGTTTTCCACCATTGCAATTCAGTCTTCTTTCTAGTTCACTGATTAATTTCGGGTCATGGAGTTGTATTCTTAATTATGGTTATGTTTTTGTGTGATGTGATGCAAGGCAATGGGTGACAAATGTGATGTGATGTGATGCAAGGATTAGCGAAACGTCAGTCTCGTCGGTATCCATGATCACAAAGTCTGTTGGGAAGACAAATGGTCCCGCCTTCACGAGCAAATCTTCCAGGATGCCGCGGGGGTGGCACGTGAATTTGTCTGCTAGCTGGATAGTCATCTTGGTCGAACTGAGCTCACCTAGCCCAAGTTTTTGATAGAGGCAAAATGGCATAACATTAATGCTTGCTCCAAGGTAGCCCAAACTTCTTTCCACTTCTAGTTTACCGATGATGCATGGTAAAGTGAAACTTCCTGGATCTTTGAGTTTTTCTGGTAGACTCTTGTTGAGTATTATGGCAAAGCATTCTTCATTCAGGACAACCGAAGCCACATCTCCCAACTTTCTCTTGTATGTGAGAATCTCCTTCATAAATTTGGCATATTGAGGCATTTTGGAGACGACTTCAATGAAGGGGATGTTGACATGCACCTTATCCAAAAGATCCATAAACTTTTGGTAAGTTGCATCTCTAAGCTGCGTGTTCAATCTGGCAGGATAAGGAGCTTTTGGTTGGTATGGTGACAGAGTTGGCACAAATGAGGGATTTAGCTCGGTCTTCTTGTTATGCAGGTCGGCTTCCATTATGACATTTTTGGCTGACTTCTTTGGAGAATGTAGACTGGGTTTTGTGATCTTCATAGGTATGGGCTCGGTTTATTTCCCACTTTGAAGGGTTATAACCTTCAGTTGCTCCTTGGGATTATTCTTCGTGTTGCTGGGAAGAGTGCCAGAGGGTCTTTCACTCAACATCTTGGCCAGATTGGTCATTTTTAATTCAATGTTGGAGATGGATGCTTGTTGTCCCAACATGAGCTTCTCGAGCCTATCAACTCTGCTCATATCTTCTGTTTGGTTGTTAGAGGCTCCACTAGTTTGATCCTGATATTGAGGTCGTGCTTGATAGCCTGGTGGGCCTTGATTTTGTGGCCTTCTATCAAAATCCTTGTTGGGATTATAGTAAGTGGGCTGGGGCCGCTGATTCGGATATGGTTGTTGTGGAGGATTTTTCCCAAAGTGTGGACGAATAACTGCAGCAGGTGCTCCGCATGGGTGTTGATATTTGTTGTTGTTGTTGTTGAAGAACCCTCCTTAACGATTTTTTCGGTACCCCTGTCCCACGTAGTCAACCTTTTCTTTGCGAGATCGACCAAATTTGCGGCAGTCTATACTGTTGTGATCTTTTCCATCACACCAATCAGACTCAAAGATTTCAGCTACTGGTGGTGAGATTGTGGAAGTCTTCAACTCAAAAAGTTGTTGGGTGATTGCCTCCATTTGTAGCATCATTGCTGTCTGAAAGTCAGATGACTCTTGGACATTATTTACAGAAACTGGGCGAGGAGCAGTTCTTCTTGCCCAATAATGTGTCATGGCCGCATCAGCTGTTAGTTGAGTAATATCACCATCTGCTGCTTGGTTGATGAGGATTGTTGTGGCATCATCTAGACCTTTTCCTAAAATGTTGGCAAGCTGCTCTTGTCTGAACCCATGGTGAGGGCATGAATGAAGTAATCCTTGGAATCGTCTCCAAGTGTCATAGAGTGGTTCTCCACTTCGCTGGCGAAAGTGAGATATTCTTTCCTTGATTTCGTCTATCTTCCACAAAAGCTTGTGCTAGATCGTCCCAGGTGGTGAAGGTTCCTGGTGCTTTAGAGTCAAGCCACGACTTAGCACTTCCTCAAAGTGAGAAAGGGAAAAGTCTTAACGTGATAGCATCTGCTGTGACTCCTTGATGTTGGACGGAGTCACAAATTTCAAGAAAAACTTGTACATGATGTACGTGGTTTTCATCGTCCTTTCCTTCGAATTGACCGACGTTCTGCACCATCCGGATTGTGCTATGGCGTAGTTCGAAGTTTGCTGTTGTGATGGGTGGTCTGGTAATGCTGCAGGCAATACCAAATGCGCTTGGTTTAGCGAAATCGGCCTTTGTTCTTTGACGGGCTGCCATGATGGTCTCTTCTTCCTTCACCTCCTTATTGTCTTCAATTTCTGTCTCACTATCTCCGACTTCAGAGGGATTGCTCACTGTCTCGTAGACAACTTCTTCAAGTTTTCATTTGTAACATCTAGTATTTGGTCGATTCATAAAAGGAATCCTAAAAAAAAAACAGTAAAAACTCGTGAAAAGCAAGGTAGGAAAAAATATAAAATAACACAAGAAAATAATTCTTTTTCACACAACTAGAAAAAGTTCCCCGGCAAGGGCGCCAAAATTTGTTGCCGCTAAAAGCGCATGCAAAGATAATCCAGAAAGTGAAACTGACTGGAGTGGTATTTCCCTAGTGTCTTTTCTGTTGCTTTACTCAAGTATTGGTGATCTAATGTATAACGAACTGATTGATTTAATTAGACAATTGTTTGGAAAAGTTATTTGGATTAGTACCCCCCTCGATGTTTCTTCCCGAATAAACTCAATTTAATTAACAAGTTTTAATACGAATTTCATCCCATTGTAATTTCTAAAATTGAATTCATGCAATCTCATAGCAATGAATTCGTTCAGCTTCCAATTACTAATCTCAGTTTTCACATCATATTAAATAATTGAAAGTTGATAGATGAAGACCCAAATTACACTCAAGATGGACCACACAAATCAATCCTGATTTCTCATGAATTTTACCTGAATGGTTCTTGTGTTGAGCGATCAAGGAGTCGGAGTGGTGTTTCTAGACGACTTTGTCTTCCAACAATTTCCTAAATGGAGGGTCTCTCCTCTCATCCGGGAACAAGATAAACGAACACAAGATATGTTAATTTGTCATAAATCCATTAGTTAAATCGTTGTAAAAGAGTTGGGATCTTTAATTTCATCGAGGGTTCCACCATTCCAAACAACGTGTTTTTTAGTTCTTCATTATAAACGGACGAAGGGCGGAAATATATAGTTATCTCAAGTGAGGTAACCAATCGTATAAACCTAACCCCATTCCAAAAATAAATATAAGTATAGCACAAATTGGACGAAAGGTCGGAAGGACTTAGCTAACTTAAGTGAGCTAGCTAATCGTATAAACCAAACCTCACTTCGGAAATATAAATATGGGGATACAGAAGGACTTAACTAACTCAAGTGAGCTAGCTAATCGTATAAACCAAATCCCCACTTAAGAAGTAGATATGGGAGTAGGGAGGTTGTCCATCCCCATTTAACCCACGATAGTAACAACGTGAAAATTAAAGGCATAAGAATAGAAAAAAAGTTACCAAAACCTTGTTCGTTGACCAAGCGGAAGAAACAAGAATAGGATAAGTACATTATACCAATAAATCACCTAGAAGTTAAATAAACTTCTTATGGTAATTTACGAATGTAATCTATTACCACTAATCTCAAAAGTTGGAACTGTTATCGTATGAAGCATATGACTTTGGATTGAAACACGAATATTACAACGAAGAATTGACAGAGTTTCAACAAGGAAGGAATGGAATAGAAACAACAAGAAGAGAAAGGATTTTATTGTGAATGAATGTCCCAGTTTGCCTTTGTACGTTGCTATTTATGGAGCAAGCTAGCTGGTCCAAATAAATGAACAAGAGCCCATATTTGTGCTAACAGCTGCTTGCGGAGAAGACGTGGACTTCTATTTCACCAGCTACCTTCCATTTCTTTGTCCGACAATGTCCATTTAATTTGAGCTACTTGCTTCTCCTTCATTACCCCGAGTGATTGAGCTGCTTGCTTGCTCCCTCCCATCTAATTTCGCCGTTCATGGAAGCAAGCTTGTCCATTTAATTCAAGCAAGCTTGCTTCCAATTAATTGACGTGCTAGTTTTTTTATTTGGACCAGCCAGCTTCTTCCATTTGCACTTGCGACATAGTTTCACCTCGGCTACGTGCTTAACCTCTTTGCCTGTGAGACGTGAGCTATTTGTACCAGCTGCTAACTTGAGCGGCTTGCTTTAACTCCCACTTGCTTGAGCTGCTTGCTTGGAAGACGCGTTTAATTCAGCTGCTAGCTTCCTCAATTGGACCAGCCTGCTTGAGCTGCAAGCTTCTGCTCTTTCATTTGACGTGAGCCAATTTCAAATCCATGCACAGGTAGGTTCGTTGTGGAATGTATAAGCATTGAGCTTGTTTGCATGGGGTGCAAATTTGACAATTTTGAGTACTCATCTCGAACTCACAATCCCATCTCGAACATTGGTTCGTCATTTCTCCTTTTCAATCATGATTTGAGAGGAGTTGACCATTTTCTCTCCTACATGTGTCTGAATATCCTGAAACATCAAAACACACAAAACCAAGCGTAAAACTGGAAAACAAATGAACTTATTTTTTGTTACAAGCCAATTGGATACTTAAACGTGGGAATAAATATGTATATTTTTAGACCGTAATAATTGCCCCAATTCAGGTGTTGTGGGTAACGCGTGTACAAGTACAGTATTAGGGTGAATTCTCTGGTTTCCAAGACTTGGTTTGTTAATCCTTTGGATTTCGGAGTTATTCTTGATGTGTTGGATTTGTTTGTTGGTCCTCTACCCGATGATGATCACGAGTAATGTAATATTGATGCCGAGAGGCCTACTAAGCCCTTATGATTGAACTAAGTTCGAATCAAATACTATCAAATTCGATATCTGCGAACTGAAACTTTTGTAAGAAGCTGTCCACTGATCATGGCGGCATCGCATTTTCAGTCAAGGGTGATGAACTCGTAACCCACGAGTTCAAGGGTTTTGCTTGTAACTCACAAGCGAGAGCACTACGTAAGTGTCGAAAACCTATTTTGTTTATTGATTGATTCATTAAATCGGACTAATGCTGTAGTTACAATATATAGGAGACAAAACCTAATACGCAACCCTAGCTGGTCCTTAATCCTAATAGGCCACTTGGCCAACATGGACGCCTACGAAGCCTCTACTTACTACTCGGCCCATTTTGTTCTCATCAAAGGGCCTAAGCCCTTTTGATTGAGACCTGTTGACGTAGACTACTGGTGAGCTGAACTGTGAATCCAAAACATTCTAATTAACACCGTAGTCAAAGAAAGAGACTCTTATTAGCCAGCTTCCCCCTTCGTTTTCCCCTCCTTTCATACAATCACATAGTTTTACATTAGGCTTTTGGTACCCTTATGAAAGAGAAAGGAATTGGAAGAAACAAGTAAATGCTTATAGATGCGTTCATAAATAAACATTTCTGAAAAATGAATCTCCATCTATTTACTGATTCTATCTCTTGGTGATTGCTGATGACCTAGACCAATCAGCGAAGATCCACTATTCTGGTACCAGCTTCCCGGGGCAGTGGAAAAAGGCTTCCTTGCCCTTTTCCAGGACCTATACTATATATATGAAATCACCAAGAGATTGCCAAACGAAAATTGGTTTTCTCTCGTTCTTGTCCAAGTCCCCAAACATCGCTAGGTTGATTAGTAGTGATATTATTGCTTGTTTAGTAGAGAAATAGTGTCGATCAATAGGATTTTGTCCCAAACTACCCGAATTAATGATAATAATAGAGACCTCCTACCATGCCTTGAAGTTACTATAATGACAACTAAGATAGCTCACAAACTGTCGATTGTTATTTTTGTACTATCCTTTATAATGACTATCGATAAAGAGGTAAGGGAAAAGGAAAGTTAGTTACAAGCTTCCTCCTGCCATAGTTTCCATATACCTTCCCACCTAACTCGTTAAACAATCATTTTTCAAAGAAGGAAGAGGACCATTGAATTTACTACTCGTGACTCAAAAGAGAAATAAGTTATCACCACACGCTCTTATATTTTATGTGATTCGGGCTACATGGCTACATCCACTTAATTGTGAATGAGTGGACTAACCGGGCTGGCCCTACCCTTACCATCTAAAATCAGGACACATGTTTTCCATTTTAGTTGTATTAATCAACCCACAACCAACTAAAACCCTATAAGCACCATGGCAAAATGATTTTGGTAATCGAAGTGCTTCTTCTTGGATTTGAGCTGGCCTGTCTAGTTTGGCCACGAGGAAATGGCCTCCGTTCGAATGTATTTGCATACTCGCTCGATTCTTAGTGATACTTGCAATTTCACAACAGTTAATTAATACGGACTACACGTTTTGATTAAGACTTTCACAAGAATTCATATATATTTAGAGGGTTAGAGCTCGCTTTTGCTTTGAGAGGTAAGAGATAGTTTTGAGTTTTCAAAAGATGTTTAAAGGTTACTTAATTATATTCAGTTAAGGAAGCCGGGATTTGGATGCATAATGATAATAGTGCACTGCATAGGTTCTGACTCGGATTCAAAACACATCACACATTTATTGTCTTGATTCAAATCTTAAATGTCTAAATCTTCTCAGTAGCATAAGATATCTTCTTCAAAGGTTCCTAGGTAGTTTCATCATTTGTAGTTGTAAGACTCTCGATGAATCTTCATAAGAATAGAGGTAACATTAACGATAACGTGAATTCATTTCATATATGCGTCAATCACCTTCATTCAAAAAATATAAAGATGTGTGAGCCAAATAACAATCTTTTTTCTATTTTTTTGAAATCACAGTGCATTGATCACATAAAATTTCACCACAAACAATTGCTTTTACCATCAATTTAGTCTACAACAAGAAGTCGCAAAATAAACAAAGGGGTTATATATCTTTCTGGCCAACCAATCAGTTTTAGTCGACTCTCATGGTCAGGTGTTTGACGAAAACGCGAGCCGCTTCCTCGCCGAGGCGTTAAGCAAGGTTACCACGACGACTCCGATGATGATGAACGCGGCGGCGGTGAGGATGCGGTGACCACAGGTTGCGGCTAAGTCTGATCTGCCTTCAAAAAACATTTTCTTTGGTTTTCACTAAAAACCGTCGAATCTCTGTCCGGATTCTGAAAAAATGGTTGGCCAATTTTATCCAAGAAGAGGGTATTTACTATGATGATTATCAAGCGGTACGTACTCATTTTACCCAATTTTTGTTGTTGTTATAATGGTTTATTTAATTTATATACTAATTGATTTATGTTGTTGTTATGCTATCGTAGGTTGGGCCGGATGTTGATATATACAATCAACGATATTATGTTGATCAAGGACCGATTGATCCGACTATTTTATACAATCAAGACAATTATCGTTCAAGAGACGTTTGGAAGGACCACAAGGTACATATTATTTATCATCATTTGTAATTTTTATTTTGTTAACGTAATTTATTTGTTTGTACAATAAATTACTTAATTGTTAATTGTATTGATTATTTTCAATATTTTAAATCAATACAATATAACACTTATTTAGACTCTTTATAAAGAAATGCATGTCTAAAGAAATGGGGTCTTA